CTAGCCTGATAATCAGCCGGTTTCAACTCATAGAAACCGTCTGACCTCACAGTGTTAGAATATGTTCGCTCGACGGTACGCGGGTACTTTTTATCATTTAACCTATTTGGTCGTGATGTATGTAATGCGCCTCTAACGGAGCTAACTGGTCTATTAAGCTTTTCCCCTATCCCGTAGGAAGAAGGACAATAATGTCTTTGCCCTTGATGAAATTCACCCAACATTCTCTTTATTCCGGCTTTAAATCCTCGATCTCGGGAGTCGTTGACAACACTGAATGTATGGCTCTTCGCTGATCGGCTGGTGCCCAAACTCGCACTTCCAGGGTTTTTGCGAACCGTCTAATGTATTTTGATCTAGACCTAGTTGCTGGAGAGAAATAAAATTGAGAGGAGGCACTAGGTGGCGCCAGCCTGGCTAGTAGGATACTCCAGCTAGTGTGTTTTATCAACTGTCCAAATGTCTGTAACAGAATAAAATAATAGATTAGATGAAGTGCACTGAGCATACACTGTATACTGAAGAGGGCTGAAGGAATGTGACGTCACCCATAATGTTTGGCTCAAGTCAAATGAAACTTGCAATGGTTATAGGGGCAAATTTGGAGCCATTTAAGTAATAGTATAATAATATTATGTGAAGTGAGACACATTTGTGACATGGTGCGGTTATGGAACAGGTTGGTTAATATGCCAGACACAAGATTAACCAAACATGTTTTTAACTGGAGTCTGTTACATAAATCGTCCTGGAGTAGAGAGATGGAGAACATTTTTGAGATTGCAGATCTCCAGTTTATTTACAGAAATAAGTTCATCTGTAATTTCAGACAAATGAGGAACATTTACTTTGATAAGTATAAACAAAAGTGGCACAATGACATCTTATGTAAACCAAAATTAAGAACATATATCTTAATTACAGACTGTTTTGGACCTGAACCGTATGTCACCCCGAACCTGAGCAGAGGTCAGAGGTCAGTATGTGCCCAGTTGAAGTGTGGGACTCTGCCTCTGGCCTTGGAGACGGGATGCTTCCACTCAGTCCCAGAGGAGGAGCAGCACTTGTGTTCTGTGCCACTTAAAGGACATTGAAAATGAAATGCATTTTCTGTTTTACTGTCCTTTGTATCATGACCTTCGCTGTCAGTTGTGTCTAATGTGTCTTACTGTTGGTTTGTTATGTCTGATGAGGAGAGACTTAAGTATCTGTTTAAATGTAATGTTTTTAAGTCCATGTGGGCTGGGCACCAACTAAATGGTGCATGACACTAAATAAGTAAAATAAACTAAACTAAACTATTAACTGACAAAATGGCACAATAAAACACCAAGATAATGCAGTGCAGGGTAAGATGAACATTTTAAGACAAAAATGATGAAGCTCACAGCAGCTGCAGAGAGACAGATGGCAATTTGTCAATGTAAAGTCAATTAGAAACAGAGCTAATGGAGCCGGAAGTGCCTCCATGTACACTTCCAATTTAGAATGCAGCAACTAGCGGGTCAGCCATGTCCATGTATATGTCCATTTATACAGTCTATGGCCCGAGTTAAAAGCTACTACAACAACTTTTATACATTTTAGACAGTACCATTCTAATTGTTTCTAATAAATACACATTTGACTCTTCTTCAAAGTTTCAAAGTTTCAAGCTTGTGCTATTTAACAGCTACTGAAAACACACTATTTTATGCATGTGAAGTTATTCTGTTATGTTGTTTACAATGGCCATCAACACCACTCTGTGATTCTGTTTGAAAATTCATTTTTCAATTAATGTTTCATTATTATTTGTACACACTTCAAACACTTAGTTGAAAGGCGAAAAATGTTGTAGGCTGAAATCAATTATAATGTACTCTGAACATGACAGATAATTGTCTTTTATGTGGCTGATGTAAAATAGATGTCACTACATTGACTATATCTACAAAAATAGATTTCACTTTACAACTTTAACTTGAATTGAGGTTGTGGTTGTATAATGGAAATCATAACTTTTAAAAGGCCTGTAGTATGATGTTTTCTGATCTATGTTATAATGTTGTTTCCTCATCAAAAACACAGAGTTATATTTTGTTTCAATCATACATGTTTAACACACAAATGCTGCAAAATTAGGCTGAGTTCTTCTCACTAACAGAAAACGCTCCTTCTAATGTCATGTGCTAATACAGGAAGTGCTCAACTATATTTTTAGGGCCTGTTTACATGAGAACGATGCGGGTAAAAACAACAAAATATTTGATCTGAAGTGCCTTTCGTTTAGATGGTGACGGCGTTTTTGGAGCTTAAAAACACAAAATCTGAAACCACCCTCCAGAGTGGAAAAGTTGAATACGCTCTGCCGTAGCGTTTCCGTCTACACTCCCCATGGTGCAAAACTCTGGTCAGATCTGCTCACGTCGTGTACGCGTTTACGTCACATACATCACCACCTAGTGTCACCACCTAGTCGCCTGGTATGCATACCCAATCCAATTCCACACACTTTTGCGTCACCGTATGCACGTAGATTTCCTCCTGAAAACACTCGTCTAAACACAGAATAAAAAGTGAAGACGCGACGCCACTTTTGCGTCTTCTGTTCAGATCGTCATCATTTAAACGTAGCCTTAAACTCCATACACCTTCACTAGAATCAGTTTGATCATTTCAGTCCTGGAATTGCCCATCTCTGCTGAATTTAAGCTTAAAGGTAGCTGTTAACTTGAGAACTACCACTTCATGACATCACAAAGTGGAACTGTGCATTTTGGAATGTTGGAGATGTGCACAGACTAATAATAAAGGGTTACTCAAACATGTGTGAACGAAACGAAGCACAACTCCAAGTATGTTTTTGATGAGGTAACAACATCCTAATATGGTTTATATTTCACAAAAGTCAATTTTGCGTAATACGGGACCTTTAAATAGAAAACATATTTATGGAAAGTATTTTTTGTCACACTTCCAACATATCAGCTAACCTGCTTGTAGATGTTTACCAAACCAATCACAGGGGCTTACACAGTTTATTTCACACCGCAGCGCTAAAGTACCCACACAGATGTTTTTGTGTATCCACACCATTTTGTCCAACAACAGCATCAGAACAGGTGCACGAGAGCCCTAATCCTGCTGCCTGCCCGCGTCCACCTGCTGAGATAATTAATGAGCTGTTTTAATACGTCTTCTCTTAGCTACCAGCCGACGCAATGGGGTCAGCGTGGAGCGAGAGTGTTGATTTTACTTCCTGTTGTGTTTTTGAACTTTAAGGTGAGAGTCTGTGGATCGCACGAGGTAAAGCTGCGTAAGCGTTGGCGACCGTTGGAGTTTTTGTGAATGGAGCCCGTCAGGTGTATTGATGATTGTGTGATGTGATGAGGAGTCGTCTCTGTACAAATGTGCGTTCTTGTGTGAAAGACCATAGTGCAGTGTTTAAGTAACTGCTATGAATGCTATTTTTGCCTTTGAAGACTATTAGGTATTAACTTCATTATGAGACATCAACTTGCATTTGCATTCAGACCTTGTAAATAATAATTGGCCTTGTAATGGATGGTTTGCCTAAACATCTAGGTTTACAGGTGGATTATATAACTTATTTTGATTTGCTTTTATTTCCTTGATTGGGACAAGCAGGCAGGCTAAGTTATAGGTTGGATCTGTTGAGAGTCACCCACACTCACAGTTAGAATGCATGGTTTGGATTAATAAAGACACCTGCAGTCACATTAAGCATTTTGCCATACTGTGAAACATTCCAGTTAAAGCAATAACAATCTCCATAGAGACAAGCAAGTGCCCCCCCACCAGAAAAGTTACACAGTGTCCCTTTAACCTAGATCTATAAAAGTTGCATGGATTTGACTTAAGTCGAGTCATGACTGATGGAGAAGAGGGTGTCATTTCTTTGTTTCCATGTGCAGAGCAGGTAGACTACAGGTAGAGGGGGCTACAGAGCAACAACGTGACAAGAAGAGTCACCAGTCGGTCAGGGTCAGTGTGTAAAACAAAAACCTGCTGAACGCCTTTGAGCAAGGGCACTCCCACACCTGGAATCAGACCAGCCCATTCTGAATGTGGTCATTAGAGTTTTTTTTTTTGGCTATAAATACTGTGTGTATTACAACCAGCAGCTAGGGGTAATGTAGCATCTGTCCTATCAAACATTTAGCTAGTTACAATGCCCTTCAGGGCTCATAACAACACCTTTGTAAGCAAGTATATTCTTTTATCCTCATTTCCCAAAACATTTGTAAATATATTTCACAATTTCCTTGTCTCTTATCTTATTAGTTAAAAGTGTCATTTGTATTATATTTATTGTTTACAAAAATGATAGCAGCATGAATATATCTGAGTGTGGTTGTGTGTGTAATGTTGTGTATCAGAGCGTATGAACACACTCGATCAGGTCTCATTAGTTTAATGAAGACTATGTTCTGTGTGTTTAAAGTAAAAACGTAAAGTTACCAGCAGAGGCCACACATTTCCAATTATAGGATTTTGCTGCACACATTTGAATAGACCCATGCAGCAGTATGAAAATCATTTAGTATAAAGCCTTTCATTAGTAACATAGTGTTTTCCAAATTACACATGACATCATTAAGCCCCCCGTATGGTACATGTGGTAATGGCTCTCAAACTTTCCACACCAAGTACTACCTAAGAAAATATGTGGTTTTCTGAGTACTACCAGGTCTAAACATTACTACACACTAGATGTAATATTTTTAAACAAGACTAACCCAAAAGAGAATTGAAATCAGGATTCAACTGAACTGCAGAGGAATCCATGTCCCACCTGAAAAAAAACATTCCACAGTTGGAGAACCACTGTTAGACGGAATATTGCAGCATATCTTATTAATATAGTTTTAACTTTTATTAGACTATTGTTTAATATACATCCTTTCAGAAAGGTACAGAACTACAGGGTACCTAACCTACATCAATCACCATTTTAGACAACTTTCATGAAGGTCCAAAATATGTCTCTCTTTCAGGTGTACTTCAAACGGGATGGCGAGCTCATAGAGGTCATCTCGTACACTATGCCCACTGCCAGTGAAGCGGGCACTGGCTCGGCCAACTTCAGAGGGGCTCGCCCGCTGATCAGCCGGGACCTGGATGAGACCAAGTTGCAGCGCTCTCTGTCTCTGCTGGATCCCGAGAGCCGCCTGTCCCGCCTGCACACAGAGAGCCCCCAGCACTACCACAGCCAGGGCCAGCAGGCGTCTGAGCCCAGCCCCGCTACAGAGGTCATCCCAGAGACTGTGGTGAGCCGTGAGTTCCCCCGCTGGGTCCACAGCACTGACCCTCTGTACTACTTCAGCCACACCCACATCCCCCAGAGTGACGGGTCAGTGGTGGTGCAGGCTCGTCTCACCTGGACCCTCAACCCCCAGCTGGACAACGATGCCCTGTTCAGCTGTGAGGTCAAGCACCCAGCGCTCTCCATGCCCATGCAGACTGAGGTCACACTGGGTGAGTACTGATGGTTTTGGATGCTGTAATTAGTGAGTCACATGCAAAAATTATAGGCTGACCAAAGGTGATAGGGACAATGGGAAGTGCTGAAACCAGAACTTGAATTCTCCCAGCAGCACGTGTTGTCAGGAAGATGTTGACCTACTTATCCAAAGGTTGATAGTTCAGTTCTCACTATTGGCATTCATATTGTTGTGTTACTTGGGCAAGACACTTGATCCACCTTTTCATTAGCAAGGTCTGCAACAAGTCTTTGTGAATGCAGAAGTGAGTGAGATGGCTAAGTGACAGAGGATCGGTGGGGTCAAAAGAACCGTGACCAGCATTGTAGAGAGACTTCCGTGTTTAAATGAGGTTGCTAGGAAACATTGAGCTTTAACGATTTACTCGGATGCTCTGAAAATGTAGATGAGGTGTGGCCCTGCTAACAAATGTTTGTTAAAGTTGCAATACCCAGCTTTCTCTTCTCAGATCCTCAAACTTTAATATATTGACCCTAATATTTTAATGTAAAAACACCTGTGCTTTTATTTGTCTGTCCCAGTTCACCCATTGGCTAAAGCAATCAATGTTATGGATGAAGTGTATTGCCCAAGGGTATGACCATACTATTACCATTTCCAGACAGAAGATATCACAAGTTTCCCAATATCTACAAACCTCCTAATTGATGAAAATTATCTTTAGTTTTTTATTACCAAACCCATGCATATTCTAAAGTCTTCTTTTGCAAATGTTCTCTTAACAACACAGATTTTCATTAGATCCGGCTTAATTGTGTTACAGCTGAGCAGATTGCAAGTTAAGCAGCGATTGAAAAACTCTCAGTGAGTGACAGGGCAATCGAGCTGTCTGTCTGTCAGCAGATTGAGCTAACTTACTGCGCCTATTGAAAAAGTCAACCTGAATTAGCAAAGTTAAATGAAAATGTAGACACTCTGACCGGAGCAGATGACCCTTACATATTCTCAAAGCACCAAAGCTCTTTCATACACAGGGTTTAGTCTCTCAAAGCAGAAGTAATCTATAAAAATTTCCTCACGTCAAAACTTGTTGAATTTATACTTTTACCAACTATCAAAGTGGAAGATTTGGCAATGAGAAAAGTTACACTTTGAAGGTAGTCTAAGGCTAAAGGTTGCATAAATCTTTGATGACGTGAAAGACGTGCACTGTTTTCTGATTTTTATCTAAAAACAAAGTTGCAACTTCCTCTTTCAAGGCAATAGATTGACCCACGTAAGCCCCTGAATCCTAACATGATAAACACAGGCATTATCTTGTTGCTTTGAGGAATAAGTGCAGTAAATAATAGACAATGCAGACAGCCTGTTGTCTGGCTCTGGTGTGCGCCACAGTAAGATCCATGAGTGCTTATCAAGTCCAGTCTGAAAAGGTGTGTATAATCACAAGGCAAAGACTTGTAGTAAATAAAGTATGGAACATTGTCATACAAATGAAGTTGATGACATGAGTAAAATATAGCTGTAGAAAATGACACCTGTTAAATTGGATGTTTATGCACAGCTTGCTTTCAAACTAAAATGACAAGACATTGAGTAAAGAAAAGAGAATACTTTATGTCTGAATCTGTTAGCTTGTTGTCTCATTATAATGCTTCCACATGCCATGGAGTCTGTTATGTCGGCAGTTTGGGCATAAAATGTACACAGCCATCTTGATTTATTAAAACTTGAGACAATAACGAATGTTTTGATTCTAGAGCAATCAGATTTTTATTTTTTTATGTATGATACCGATTGTCAATAAGGTCTACCAATATTTTTGGAATGATATTTGTGGCACATTTTGATTATTTCACCTAAATACTATAGTTTAAAGTCATTACGAACTCACGCACAGCACTTTTCTAGCTATAAGAGAGATGTGTAGTCATGTTTTGGACAGTTACCTTTTTGCACAATCTTCAAATATAGCTTTATGTGCATTCTTTACGCAGCAGGTCAGTCAGCCTCTGCTGGAGATTTAACACCAATATAACTGCCAACAAATATATAGTAGGCCTATCTCTAGTTTTTATTCTTGTTGACTTTGGCATTTGAGTATGTCATACATACACTGAACACTACACTCTTTATAAAAATATCCTAATAGCGTCACGGATAAACATGATGAACATACTGATTTAGCATAAAACCCATCAGCTGGCTGCTAAAAAAAGTCATTGTTATTGCAAGAAAGGCCCAATGCCAGATTTTGCTTGCCACTATCAGTGAAAATGGCTACACTAACACTGTATAGAACGCTCCTCCCTACATTTTAAACACACTATAATTAAGTCTGCAGCTGCACCACTGTCAATGGGACCTAATAGCATGCTTTTGAAATCAGTTGTCACTTTGTGCTTTGTGGCTTTTTAAAATGATGGTTTGGAGTTACACAATAAAAGTCCTTTTAAACACTGTAAATGTCAGCGCCTCCTACAAAGTGGAAAGAAATACCAGCAGTAACACACAAGATGGAGACAGCAGCGTCACTCCACGGTGCAATGGCGTGAGCTGTCTTCTGGTGTCAAAGCATTGCATCAAGCATTTGAACAGCTTTTCACCTCTCCAATGTTGACGATAAAACAAATGACACGTCTGTGAAATTTGTTCAAAATGTCAGAGGTGCTAATATTTTGACAAGGCTTTAACCGTGTGTTTGTTTGAAGTCGTACATTTATTGCTGCCTTTGTTCTTAAAAAGATAGGAAAAGGGTTGTGTGGTGTTTTTAGGTGAAAAAGTATTTGAAAAACTACTTCTGCTACTAATTTGAATATTAGAATACAACATTTTTTAAGATCTGGTTAGAGACACTTAATAACTGAACTAGCTTATTGATATTGATTTGTTAAAAGGCAAAGGTCAGTAAAAAATTGCATTCAATCTTCATTTCAAACTAAATAAAGCCTTTCATACACACACACACACACACACACACTAAAATACTTATGACTAGGTACAGATAAATGAGGCCGAGTACAGATGGATATTATTAGTATTAGATGTTGCAGCTTTTCATCATGAAGTTTCCATCTATTTCCTGGGTGTACTTTTACCATCAACTATACACAGTGTTGGGAAGGTGACTTTTAAAATGTATTCCCTTACAGATTACAGATTACATACCCCAAAATGTAGTTTGTAACGTAATCCATTAAATGACTTAAAGTGAGTAACGTAATCTGAATACTTTGGATGACTTGATATTGTCATGCTTTTTAAAACGACATGAATGTAGCGACCACATCCTGAAAATTCTTGTTTGTTCTCTTCAAATTGTCTGTTGAGTCCAAGTCTCCATGAACAGATTTTTTTTACTGTAGAGAAGCAAAGACAAGGATCTGAACATAAGATGTTTTGTTTTATCTGATAAAAGAAAATAAGTCCAGTCTTTACTTAATCATATTAAAAATATTATTGATAGAGAAATGATTTTTATATGAGATCACTGCTGCCTGAAATTATGTTCACCCACTGTTAGGTGTCCTGGTTTAGACCTGCTTTAGTCCTGGATTAGTCCTGGTTTAGTCCTGGTTTAGTCCTGGTTTAGTCCTGGTTTAGACCTGGTTTTAGTCCTGGTTTAGCCCAAAATGTAAAAACAGGAAAATACCGCCCTGTAATCCATTTATTTCAGCAAAGTAACTGTAATCCAATTACCACTCACTGAAACAGTAACTGTAACTGAATACAGTTACTCATAATTTGTACTCTGATTACGTAACTCCGGTACATGTAATCTGTTACTCCCCAACACTGACTATACAGCAACAGATCCAAGAAATAGGCAGACCTGGCTTGTATTTTTATTTATTCATTCATTCATTTATTTATTGTCAAAGTGTTTTATAAATGCTATTACCACACGCAAAAAAATAATAAAATCATGTGGTACACAGTGTCTTTTCTGACACTGGGTGAGTTGAAATAAGTCTTATTTCTTTCCACTCCATTTCAAACATCAATATTTCATTTGTATGAGTCAATCAATTGTATTAATCTCTGTACCACCTTTTATTTGCTCTGTTATGACATAGTTTAAAATAAAGATGAATAATTAGATTTATTATGTATGTAGCAGGCTATATGCTCCAATCACACGTTCAAGTAATTGGTAGTAAGTTAAACAATGAATCAATGAAGGCATAATTGTAGCTTCCATTTCTCTCGCCGTACAGTTGGCCCTATCAGGTGTATTTGTCCAGGAAATGAAAAGGAGGTCTCCATAGCCTCCATATGTAATAAATCTTTCAGAGATTTAATATTACCACATGAGATGGAGCGACAGTCTGACAATCGACCACAGTTGTATTACACCTGATGAATATGCATGAGTGTCTGCGTGCTGTCCATGCTAATGTCCACAGCGCTGGTGCGAAGCTAAAAAAAGATCACCTCTATGAGACCAGGGACTCCGCCTGCTACGCTACGCTACACTATATGTTCCATTTATGAGCAGCTTAATATTTAAAGACAGCAGTTTACGTTTGATGTACTTGACTTCATCACTTACTATTATGGGATGTTTCAAGAAAATGTAATAATCATCTCTACAGTGCAATATTTCAGCCAATTCTAATTAAGAAAACACATACAGGGAAACGTGTTGAAACATTCAAATGTGTCCATATTGTCTGCATTATATTATCTGCTATACTGTGGCTTTACCTGCAGCTCAATGCCAGATCTCATCATAACTCAGCTAAGCAAGGCCACACTTGGTTAATACTTGGATTTGAGATGTGTTGTCCTTAGGCAAGACACTTCAACTACATCGTCCTTTAACAGTGGGATATCGAAATAGGACGACTGGGGAAGGACATCTCATGGATTTGGAATTGAAAACATTATTAGTAATTTGCAGACATTGGTTCTGTCACTACCAACGTTGACATTTTTCCATTTATATTAAACCAGTGAAGTTTATATCCAGTGTTGGGGAGTAACAGATTACATGTACCAAAGTTACGTAATCAGAGTACAAATTATGAGTAA